CAAATTTTTCGTTGTGCGTAAAGAGTTTATAAAAGTTAAGTTAATGGTTGCGAAAAAGTGACTAAAAAGAATGATCTTTAATCCCATTGAGATTAAAATTTTTTGTTTCCCGGCTATATCCATTATCCATAAACGAAAACTATTATTTTACAAAGTGTAACAGTTTCAGTCAATAAGAATTTAAATAGTAATGAATAATTTAATTGAAAACAATTAAAGTATCAATTTGATCTCAATCAAATTGATATTTAAACATTTTTAAAGCTTAACTTCAGTTTAAAAAAAGTCACGCAAGATACCAGGCAAACGCAAGATACCAGGCTAAAAACTTTAGTATTTTTTCTTTTTAAACAAGTTTTGTTTAGTAGCAAATATTTTAGTCTTACTATTATTAAAGAAACTTAAGAATAATAGAAATAATATTTTTTTAATTTTTTTTTTTTAATAATATAATTATTTTCAAAACCTCGTTGTTTTCGTAACACCCTAAAGTATCATGTTATTTGTTTATTTTTATTCAATTTTCGTTTGTATATTTTCAAGTCAGACCAGATGCTATCGTTTATACTTGATATTAATATTCTTAAAAGGTATCTTATAACATTACCAAGAGCTGAAATATTCTTGTTGTTGTTAATGGAATAATAAATTTATGAAAGAAATAAATAAAATAATAAGATAAAAAGTGTAGGTGTTTGAATTGTTGAAATAATACAAATTAATAAAAGTTTTCTATAAAAACAACAGTTCAAAGAAAGTTTATAAGCTTTAGTTTTAGTTTGTGAATAAATAATTAAAAAAGCAAGTTCTTAGAATACTTTTATTTTTTGACTATTTTTTTAAACAAATACAGACTCATTAATTACTGATATATATATATATATATATATATATATATATATATATATATATATATATATATATATATATATATATATATATATATATATATATATATATATATATATATATATATATATATATATATATATTAAAGCAAAATAGCTTTATGAAAATTAGTATTACAATTGGATTAAAAGATTAGTGTTAAAATTCTTGTAATTATAAAATAATTAATATTATCAAGTAGGTTTCAAAAGTTTTTTTGTTATCTAAAGAATAATCTAAAGAACAATTTTAATACCTCTAATCTGCATTGATGCTAATTTGAGAAAACATTTTTCTTTATATAGACATATTATTTAAAATATGAAAGTAAATAGTAAATAGTAACATAAATTGTTATCATATTTTTCATATGTATGTATTTATGTATATATGTATATATATATATATATATATATATATATATATATATATATATATATATATATATATATATATATATATATATATATATATATATATATATATATATATATATATATATATATATATATATATATTAAGCTCCTTCCCAGAATTATGCATATCATAATTATGCTGTAAAATTGCTTTTGTTGAATCTTTTAAATACCTTGGCCATATAATTAAAAATGACCTAACTGATGATCTTGATATAACTAAGAAGATGAAGGGTGTTTACAAATATATTAATTAGACGCTTTTATTTATGCTCTACCAGAGTAAAGGTTAAATTGTTTAAATCGTATTGCATTTTTTTATATGGTGCTCCTGTGTGGCAAAATTATAATGATAAAACAATGGCACGCCTTCAGTATTTCTACAACAAATGTGGTAAAATGTTTTTTGGCTACAACAAGTATGATAGTATATCTCTCATGCTTTTAGAGCACAGATTACCATCTTTTCATAAAATTATCTCAAACTACAGACATGCTTTTTGGATTAAAAGGTTAAAAAAGCAGTGCAAAGATAGATTCTCTTCGGTGTTAGCTCTGATATTACTAAATAACAGCTAAAATTAGGAAAATTAAAAAGCCGTTTTTAAAATGCTCATGTACTATAAAAAATTTGCAAATCTCTGAAAATAATGTGTCTTTAACCACAAATTTTTTTATTTTTTTCCCAGCAATGAAGTTTTTATTTAAAAATCAGAATGTGATCTGTCAAGTTGCTTAGTTTACAGATCCAGGTGTTTGGTAAATATAAACAAATGCTAATGATTTTTAGAATTATGGTTTGCACCACCATTTTGCCTTTTTTCAGACTGATACTAAATTAATAGATCCTGGAAAAGCTTAACAAAATAAAAGTGTTGTGTTTAACTGTTGGCAAAAACACCAAAAAGTCTAAACTTTTGGGGTGCAAGTGTATTTACTAGAAATTTGTCACTGAACTAGAGGTATAACTGATGTAAAGGTTTTAGAATTGTTGTATTTATAAACTTGTACAGAGCCAGTGAAACAACAATATTGGCCATTGTAGCAAGTGTAAAGAATTGAACAGAAAATTATTAAACTGTCGTTATCTGCGAAAAAATTGTTGCTTTTGATTTTTTGTGGCGTTATTAGTTTTGTGTCTGCTGTACAAAAAACTCTGTATAACTAAGATTGTTTTATCCTATAATAGAATAAAATTATTTTTGGATTTTGTTATGGGATTTACTTTATCATAATCATAGTCTGGGATTAGATAGGTTGATAGCTATCATAGGATTATCATACTCTAGAATTTTTCATAGGGTTATAATCCTGCAATAAAGCCTAGAGTACAATAAATGAATAAAAATCTTATGGGTGAAAAGAAAATACTACAATTATTTTTATTTTTGCAAAAAAAAAATCTTATAGTGATAAATATTCATACCTATTGTATAAACTGCAGATCATACTATAAATTTGTAGTTGATATCTTAATGATATCTTAATGATGTCAGTTACAGAATATCTGAAAGTGGTAATGCAAAAATCTTTTATGTTATTTATGTTTTTTTAAAATGGTTTCACAGGCATTATTTAGTACAACCTTGAAGTATGAGTTGCAATATTTAACTGAGAAGCTTCTGGGTGAAAAAAATAGTTTTTCTTTATAATTACTGCAATGTTGGTTTGAAAATACACAACAAAACTTGCAAATGTGACAGGCCTGTTTATCCATTGGTTCTGTCTTATATACTTACTAGTTGTAGAATATTAATTCATTAAAATAAAAGAGTAATTAAAACATTCTGTTAATCTAATGGAAAGTTCATTTTGTGTGAAATTTTTTTCTATAGTTGAGTAATATTTCATTTATTTTCTAATCTTTTGCAAAAAATTTTTTTTCACAGATTAATTTTCAATAGTCTGAAAAATGGATAGATATTGACTGGAAATTTCTCATTCTGTCATCATTAGATCAGAGAATAATATGTTTCTTTTTTTGCTGCTAGAACTGTTTTATCTGCAATTCTTGTTTTAAGAATTTAGCTGACAAAACCAAATTTTGTTTTGTCATCCAAATTTTATCAGATTTATTAAACAGCATACAAGGTTTTGTTTGATTTTTAAAGAAATTTGTTTTTATAGAGCTAGAGTGTTAACCTTGTTTGACCACATTTCTATTATGCTAAAAAAAAAAACAAGATTGGAAACATCCAAGCATACAATGAACTTATGTGTTCTCTCCTATTAAACTGAAGCCTCAGTTTATTTGTATATAAAAAAATATCTTTTTATCATAATTTAGTGAGCATCCAAGTTTATAAAAAAACAAATTTTGAAAATAGAAGAAAAATAAACAGGAAAAAAGAAAGAAAGAGTTTTCTACAACAAAGTAAGTTATTAAATAATAATATTTGGCTGTATAGTTTTAGCATATTTTAAAAATTATTTGATATATTTAATTAAATCCTTATTTATCAGTTGCTTAAGTTGTTGCATAAATCATCTTGACAAAAAATATATATAATGGCAAAATACAGTTGCACAATACTTGTGCAATACTACCTTTTTTTGAGACCTCAAATATTGCTAATTTTTTTCTAATATTTAAGATGATCCTAAACTCCTAATGAATTGAACATAGAAAAAGTTTTACTGGGTAATTGTAAAAAATGTGATTTTAATTATTTAGTATAAATTATGTGTAAATCATTAGTGTCTATATATTAATATTTAACAAAAAAAATATTTATTTTTTATTTTGATGAGATGATTTATTGTGATAATACTTATTGAATGTTTTTATTTTTGCAGGATTAGCTGTAAAATGAGTAGGAAAAAAAAAAAAGATGTTTGTCTTTCTTTAGCATGTTTTTTATGTAAACAAATGTGCTTTTTCATACTTTCAATTGTATCAACGTTGTATCAACGTTGGGATAAATCTTTTTTAAATCTTAAGATATTTTTTTTTTTTTTTGCTTTGATTATTGTCTTGAAAACAATTAAACATTGTTATGTATTGTTTTATTTTAGTAAATTTAATATTTTAGGTGGATGACAGTTTGTATAATTAAAATTCATCAATTTATACAAGATAACTCTTAAAAAGTTGAGTTATTTGAATAATTGTTTATTTGGTGTAAATTTGTTTAAAACAAAAAAAATAATACCGTCAGTATATTAAAAAATATTACAGTCAGTAAGTTGTAAAAATACTTTTACTAAGTTTAACTATTCTTTTTTATTATTATTAAAAATGATTTATCATTTGTTTTTATAGTTTTTTTTAAGGTAAATATTTTTTTGTCAACATATAGACATAATTTTTATTTGTGTGATGAATTGTTTTTTAAATAAAGTTTTAGAAATTAAAAAAAAAATTTTAGAATTTTTATAATAAGCAGACACAGAGTTTTTAGAATTGATTAATTCAAGATTACTTTTATTTTTATCTTTTATATTTTATTATTATATTATATATTACATATTAGTTACTTTGTAAAAATTACTTGTAGTTAGTATTTTCTGTTCACCCTCATTTAAACCAATAAATTGTTTATCAGCATTTATATTTTATTAACTTTAGATTTACTTGTTTACTATAGTTTTTTTGAATTGGATTATTTTTTTATTTGTATTTGCAGAAGTAAGATGGTATAACATTTTTTCAAGTTTTTTGCATTTTTGCATATATATATAAATACAAATATATAATTACAGGTATTTACATATAAATATATGCTGTAATAATAGTTAGCATCCGCAACTTAAATAAAAGTTTGATAATGGATGAAAATGGTTCTCATGAGTTTGGGTTTGTGTTTGAAGTAGCATGGGAAGTTGTTAATAAAGGTTTTTAATTTTTTTTTTTATTGTCTATGGTTATTATTTTTTTTTTTTAATACTTATTATAATTAATATTCTACATGTGGTTATTGCATATTTTATTTTTAGTTGGTGGTATCTATACTGTAATACGTACAAAAGCAGGAGTAACAGTAGAGGAACTGGGAGATGACTATTTTTTGTTTGGACCCTTAAACCAAAACCAATGTAACACTGGTATGTTTTTGGTCTCTCTTAGTTGTGTATTGGGAAGTACTACAATTAGTAAATTAAATATTAAATAAATAAGTAAATTAATAAATTCCTTTTTATTTAGAGGTGGAAGTCATAGAGCCAGAATATAAAATCATAAAAGATGTAATTCACTCAATGGAAGATGAAGGAATCAAGGTATTGTATATATATATATATAAGACCCCAAGAAGCCGCTCAAGATGTTCCTGCCAGAGAGACGATTTTAAGCTGGCTCGGCTTAATCTCCCTTTACTTTTCCAGTTAGGGGTCTAGGAGAGCGCTCTAAGTTAAAGTGTGTTTTGATTCTTTTTAAATCATATTAAATCACCACTTTTGTAATCTTATTTTAAAATTTATTTCATCAGTTTACTTGAAATATGGAGACCTCTGATGGACCTTAATTGTAAGCAGATACAAATATGAATTTTAAAGCTGCATTTGTAGGTACTGGTGTTCTAAACCTAATGCTGTCTGTTTATAATCTTATAAACTGACAGTATCACTGTGACGAAGTTATTACATAAAACTTGAAATAGTTAATTAATTATAGTTTTCTTTTGGCTTTTTTCATTGCAAATTATTTATTTAATCCTTTAAATTGAAACCTCTCATAATATTTGATTCTACGCTTAAAAGAGCGGGAGAACCAAGTTTCTCTTGATCCATTAAAGCTTCGTTGAAACTTTTCAAATGCTTCAGCTTTAAAAATGACTGTTCAGTACTGCAATTAGTGATTATTGTAGTAAAAAATATTTGCAATGCTTTGCAGTTTTGATAATGCTGTAAAAGTAAGTGTAACTTAACTGGAGATAACTGATTGAGTTGCTGGAAGAGTATTTTTTTTTTGCAGGTACATTTGAAACTGCTATAACTCAGCTGCAAATCTGTTGTCTATATCTCTGGGTAAAATTAATCACTCAAATTCAATTAATTGAATTTGATAAGGATCTGGACCTATATTAGCTATAAATAAAAATCTCTTTGTGGTATTGACAGATATCTCTCCTCTATTTTGCATTTGATCTTTGAGTTCATCAATGATTCATCAGTCATTTTTAAAGCTGAAGCATTTGAAAAGTATGACATAAAATGTTGACACTCTAAACTGAGGTTTTATTGAAAAGACATTTAAGCAGAATTATTTATCTGATATAATTATTAGAAAATCTGTCTATCAAATACATAATGTAATCCTTAGACATGTCTGGTGGTGAGGTATGCTTACAGGCAAAAAATTAAACTATTCTTAAATTTAGTTGAATTTGTTGATGTTGATTTTATATGTCGTTTTCCGTTTATCTGGGCTCTTTATGTTATGCTGTGCAAGATAAACATCTGAATGATTTTTAACATATAAAAACATTTTTAAAAGTATAAAGTGTACAGTTTAACTTACTGACACTAAAAAGCAAACAAAAATTAAAAATTATATTTTAAAAATATTAAAAAACATTAGTTTTTGATCTTAACAAAAACAATGTTATTCTTTTCAGTCATTTTCTTGAGTTTATAAACTAAATGGTTGTTTTTTTTTATTTTTTAATTTTATTATTATTATTTTTTTCTTTATGTATAAAAAATATAAAAAAAGTTCAAACTTTTGTAATATTTACATAAATAAAATCATCTAATATCTCACTAAGCTTAAATATTTTTTTTAATATTATATTTAAATGTTGGTGTCACTCCTTTGATCAGATTTCTGCATAATTGACACCATCCTAATAAATCATTAACTTTAATTATATATAATTTTATGTTTATAACTACCTTAATAATACTTATCATTATTTTTATTTTATTTTATTATAATTATTGTAAACATACTTATTATTGTTATCACTATAATTTGTAATAATTTTTTTTATATTATTATAATATATTATTATTGTTATTATTACATTATATATTATATAATATTATTGTTGTTATTATAATTTTTATTATTATCAAAACTATTATAAAAATAATTTAAATATTTAATTTATAACAATCAAAAACATTTTAATTATTTTCCTACAAAATAAAGTAAAAAATTTTCAAAAATTTTCAAGAATGTATATTTTTTTTAATTTTAATTTGTTTTAATCCTTTATTTGTTAACAATTTTTAGATTGTTTATGGAAGATGGTTGATTGAAGGAACTCCAAAGGTTTTTTTTAATGATTTTAAAATTCAAAGTAGTACTACCATATATAGATTTACTTGATTAAAAAAAATGTTTAGGTCATTTTGTTTGATCTGGAAAGTGGTAGAAAATGGTTGAATTCATGGAGAAAAGAACTGTGGGAGGTTGCATCCATTGGGATACCTGATTCAGATACAGAAACATTAAACTGTCTTATTTTTGGTGGTTTAGTGGCCTGGTTTCTAGGAAAGGTAATTTGCTTTTTTTATTCCTATAACTGTCATGAAATTAATCACATTAAACATGATATTGCATGAAAGTATATTTTCTGTTCATATAACGTTCATGAAATTATATTAAAACTGATATTGCACAGAGAAAGATAAAGTTTCGATAAAATTAAATAACTGTAGTATTGCACATTTTTTGTATTTAAATTTAAATACGATGTTTAAAGATTTAGTTTTTTAAAAATTTAAAAGTATTTTTAATGTCAGAGTTAGTTTTTAATAGTGATAACAGATTTTATGAGTTAATTTTAATGTATAATATAATTTACATAAAAACTCATAAAATCAATGACTAAATAGATTTTAAATTTATTTATATTACCACTCAAAATTTTGAATATTTATTCCAATTAATATTGGATTAAATTAATTAGGGATTTTTTATCAGGAAAAGTTACAAAATTTATTGATAGAATTTAAATTTCATCAAAGTACATTAGCATTTTGAAGTAGAGGCAGTAAAATTTGAGTTTCAAGTGGGGGGGGGGGGGTTTGGTTAATTGTGAATTTCACTAGATCTGAATAATAAGTTTTATTTGAATTTGTTTTCAAATTTTATTTTAATAAAAAAATTTTGGTGTGTTTTTTATTTTAATATATTTTCAAACCATCTTTTTATTTTTTTTTATTTTTTTATTTAAAAACACTTTGCAAAAAATTTGAATTTTAATAATTAATTTATTATGATTTTAACAGTTTCGATTTATCAATCAAGATGTATTAATGACAGCACATTTTCATGAATGGATGGCAGGAATTGGGCTGATATTTTCACGAACTAGACATCTTGATATCTCCACTGTCTTCACAACTCATGCAACACTTCTGGGTAGATATCTATGTGCTGGAAGTATTGACTTTTACAACAATTTGGATAAGGTTTGAATTGATTTTTTATATATTTGAAAATTCCAATAAAAATATCCTCAAAATTTCCTGAAACTTCTTTAACACCATCACCTCCCACCCCACCCTACAACCAAAAATTCCTGGATTCGTTAATGAATGTATCCTTAAAGTTCATCAGCCTTTTCAATAGGCTTTTTATGACTTTTAAATTAAAAAAAAATAAAATGAATTTTATTTTATACGATATATTGTTTTCATAATTTAATTGAACATAAAATAAGGTATAATAAAGAATACTAATAACTTTTTAGAACCTTTTTATAAAAAATACATACTTATGTTATCCCTTTTTCAAATCAATGTCATACAACCTAAGATGTAACCACCAGTTTATGCTTCAACTGCAACAAGTCAAAAACTGGAAAGAGAGACTTTACTTTTTTATAAATCTCTTTTGTGCATAATTTTTGTCAAGTCAGGGTTGCAGCATCAGAACACAAGCAAATAATAGAACTATATGTATCAAACTCGTCAGCATAGCAAGGCCTGGTGCCGAGTTCCATCAAGCTTTATTACATTTTTTGTAAAATTCGATATACAAATACAAAATTAAATCTTTTTGTTAAACAATCTTTAGAAGTTGTTACTTTTGAAAAATTATTTAATAAAATCCACTGTAATCAAACAAGAATAAAATAATTATTCTCACATAAATTAGATATTCAATTAGCTTAAATTTATACACACACACAGATATATATATATATATATATATATATATATATATATATATATATATATTCAATTAGTTAATTAAATGTGATAAATTTTTCTTTTAGTTTGACTGTGATGCTGTAAGTTTTATATTTTGTTTTTGTAACTTTTTTTTCTGTTTCTCTTTATTCAATCAGCATAAATATACTCTATTACTGATATAAAATTGTTTAATTTTTTTAAAATAAGTTTTCTCATGTATTATAAATATAAAATTGTTTGAAAGTAAAACTTTTTATTAATAATTTTATTTTTTGATTTTTTTTGATTTTTTTTATATTATGATTTAAAAAAAAGTCAAATAACTTTTTTGAATTATGGTCAGCCTGTTATCAATTTATTGAGTATATAGTCTATTATTCTTGAATATTTAGTTTATTACTTTGTTAATTTTTTATTAATAATTGTAATACTAAATATTTAGGAAGCTGGTAATCGTCAAATCTATCACAGATATTGTCTAGAGCGAAGTGCCGCTACTTTAGCCCATGTTTTTACTACAGTTTCCCAAATAACAGCAGATGAATCTGAACACTTACTCAAAAGGAGACCAGGTATGTATGACCAAGCAGAAACAACTGTGTTTTAGAGCACTCATAACTATTAAAAAAGAGTTAAAAATTAAATGTTAGAAACGAGTAGTTTATTTATAATAAAAAGTTTTTTTCTATATTTTTTTTTTGTTTGTATATAAAAAAATCATAATTTGGAAATTTGCAGAACATTGAATAATGCTGATTTGTATTTTACCATTGTATAATTTCACCACTGGTAACAAAATTTGGTACATAATAAATGCAAGCATTTATTTTTATTGTTCCACTTGATCACATAACCTTTAATAGTTTAAATTGTGTAACAAAATACTCAAGGGTACTCATAGTTTTAGCATAAGAATGCAAACTACAATAGTTATGCAAAATACACCAGTTCTATTAAAGTAGTTATCTTTATTATGGATTAAGTTTTTTATTATAATTATTATAATTTTATTA